TGATTCAAAAAGGAAAAAAAATGGAGGAGGGTAAGGGGGGAAGAAGGAACAAAGCGGCGCGCGGCCTTTGCGCGCGAAAAGCTCGCGCGGATTGCATTTGAAATATTTCCTTCCAGTTTTACGACCAACGGCGTTGCTGTTGCCGCTGAAATTCGCGTACACACTGCTAAAAGATGCGGATACTCTACTGGATATATATCTATTTCGCTGCTATTCCGACGCGTATTACGTACTGTTATCTTTGCTGCTGTTGGACGAGCAAGAGAGTTCAAAGATGACTCGACTCTCGCCGAGAGAGCTAGAAAGAGAAAAATATCGCAGTCAGGCATTTTACGTGAAAGAGATTTCTTATCTCGCTCTCGTTCGCCTGGACTCGATGATCCACATTTTTTTGTCTTTGGTATTTCACCGCAGCTATTCACCTACATTCAAATGTAATTAGTCAATGTACACGATCCACGCGGCACTTTAACGAGCTGCTCAAATATATGCTCGGGCAATCTTACAATGTGTACATAATGTAACAATTTGTCGAGCCGCGAAAGACTACACACACGCAGCGTTAAAAAAAAAAGAAGAAAGAAAGACTCACCGACTCGATCATTCAAGACGATAATGTAGTGCTGCACTGAATAAAATGTGTATATGCTCACGCACACACACGCAGCCCAGACACGATCACAATGGAAAATGACTGACGCAAGCGCTACTTTGTGTTATCTGCTCCTGACACCGCTGCTGCTTCTGCCTTTTTGGCTCGTATGATAAATGCGTACACCCTTTTGCGTCTCTTTGAACGTATACTCGATCGTAATCGAGTTTTTTGTATTCCAACCAAGCTCATTCAGAAGATACCGCACTACGCATCACTTTATTTTTATTTCCTCCCAAGCATCAATGGATTTCTTTTTTCCTTTCATTTCGTTGCCTCTTTTTTTTTTGTTCTATCTTGTTTTCAATTTAGCCGCTCGGTTAAACTCAAATACCAAGTATATCGTAATGCATTGTGTCACACGAGCTTGCGTGGCTTGTGAATATCAAATCAAGTCGGAGCTACCGTATATGAATGTGCGACGACAGCAGCGACCAACGACGATAAAAATGAGCGACGCGCAGAAAAATTTGTAGCTAGTCTGGTGTATCGGATTGACGGTTTAATACAATCAAATTACCTTATTATGTGCTGAAAGTTTACAAAGCTTTGATTTCGGTAAAGTTAATTGAGGAGCGCGCTTCGCGCTCCCTCTGGCAAGTGATTAATTATACTACTAGAATTTATACCATTTATACTGTTATTACGATTTTTCACTTGCAGATACATAAATGAAAGTACTCGCCATCTAGTGGCAAAATCTGGCATCAATTACCATATCATTCAATTAACGATAAATCAGTACTTCGTACTTGCAGCATTTAAAGCTCCTTGATTCTGTATCATTGATAAATTTTCGCAATACAGCCTGCGACGATGCATTCGAATACGCAGCACAATCGCAGCGACAGCAGCATCAGGCGGCAGGAAGTTTCGGTTTCGTATTTTTTTGTTGTTTTTGTTTCTCGTTCTCTGTAAACAGCCTCGTGGTTGATCGCAAACATCGTTGCTCGAATCTCGCTCCCATAAATATACAATATCGCGGAGTGTATTATATTATACATATGCGTCGTTCGAGAGACGACGAGCTGGCCTCGGCGAAACGTCGAAAAACGAGAACCAGCTGCTGGACGCTCGGTGGAATTCAAGCCATTTAATTCGGCAGAAGCGGCCGCGCGACGATGTGTACACACACACATGGATCGTATTATTATACACCGCACTCTCGACGCTGCAACTTTTACTTGAGCAACGGAAGAGCTCAGGTGGAAGTGCACGAGTGTGTGTGTGTGTGCGCGCGTTAGTGAGTCCTGAATATTATATGTATGTGTGTATGTGTGCAAGCACGAGGAAAAAAGAGAGCTCGGACCGAGAGTGAGTGAGCGAGAGAGAGGCCGGAAGCGCCGTAGCGGAATACCGAAACCGATAAGGATGCGCCGCGGCGTTGCACACATGCGCCTATAGATAAACTATATACATATATTTGGCGAAGCTCGTGTGTGTGCATTTTGTAGTTGCCGACGTCTCGTGCACCCGTCGTCGTCGATTTTTTTTTTTAATTTTCGATCGACACTGGCCGCTGCTACTGCTATTGCTGCTGACCATGTGTATAATAATGTACGCAAGAAGCGCATAGCGTATACGCGTTAGCGATGCAGCACACGCTTGGATACAATATATAATGTGTCTTCTTCGCGCGTGTGTGCGTTATAGCGTAGTCGTGGGTAGCGGTAAACGCACACATATAAGCAATATCGTATACACGCAGTGCTGCGCTTCGTATACCCACATTCAATGAAGACGATCCTCCTCTCGTTCGATCGATCGCTCACACAGGCTCTATACCGATCGATCCTTTTAACCTTGTTTTGCACGCTGTACAGCGTACACCCCCCTGTGTGTTTTTTTCTTTTCCGATCGTTCAATTTGTTCGATAATAGCCCCGCGCTAACCGATCGTCCGTTAACATGTCCGTTTGGTTAACCGAGAGATCGGTGTAAACGTTCGAAAGGTGTTATTATTATAAAGTTCCACTGGCCGATGCTGTTGCCGTTGCTACTTCTCGCGCGGCGCGAATAATAACGATCCTCCGAACGATGGCCGATCGAGCTGTATATCGCCAGCTTCTTTCTCCTCTCTCTCTCTCTCTCTCTATATCAACACGTTTTATAAAACATTTTCATGCAATCTCGCCTCGGCGCAAAATCCAGTTTTTCACCTCAAAGTCTGTGCAGTGCAGCAGCTCAGCTACCCGTATAGCAGTGCGCAGTGCACACAGTGTGCGCGCCGTATAGTCATGCACGCCTGCTGTTATTGCGCTGCACACCCATTGCGAGATCGTTGACTCTGCTCGGAGCTGCGCCTCTCTTTTGCTGCGCGAGGAGCGCGCGCTCGAGCCATATACACAGCTGCAGCAGCAGCAGCATATATATACCTACCTACACAGTGTGCACACAAACACACACATACACACGAGCTGTGCAGCCTGCATATGCTATTATGCATCGAAGTTGTCGGAGCTCAACGCGAAGACACATTGCCGCGCGCTCGTATATACGTACTACGTATAGGACACATATGCACACACGTCAAGTGGCGCGCGAGCGAGCGAGCGAGTTAACTGTTTTATCGTTTGTCTCGTATATGCCACCACTGCCAGGCTGCAGCTGCACAGAGTCGTGATATAGACGCGTAGAACTAGTATATAAAGATGACGCGCGAGCATCGATGCATTTTGCGCCGCACTGATTTCTGCGTCAACCGATCGCGCGGCCTCATATAGGTAGGCTCGATCTCGATATAATCCGCGAGCGAGACACGATTCTTCTCATCGGCGAATAGAATATCGCGTCGAAGCACACGATTTTATTTCTTCGATCGGCGCTTATTATATCCGAGCGTATAATATATAAAATATTGTAGAAGGTATGCTCGGCGCGCAGTAGTAGTAGTAGTAGTATTATATATGCTATATACATATATCCAAACGGAATTCGAGCCTGTGCCTGTGCCTGTGCCGTGCCGCGCGCCGAGAGAGCTCCGAGCTCGCGAGTGAACGAGCGGCGAGAGACAGGAAAAGGTGCCCGATTCGCAGGTACCGTTCGAAGGACGCCGCGCATTCTGGGTCGTTTCTTTGCAGCAGCAGCAGCTGATACAGCTCTCTCGTTGCCTATATAGTATATACACCGCAATGCACACATACACACACACGCGATCGCTAAGCTATTTAGGCATTTTTCTCTCATTCGTGTCGCTTTGCGAGTTTTGCGCGGTATGTGTCGACGCAGTGCAGAAATTCATTCACGCGTACGCGATGAACGTATAATTGATCGATGCGTTTGTACGTGCACGATGTATGTAAGCTGGAAAGAGAGCTGCGTATAGCGTGCAGCTGAACTAGCAAAATTTTTCTTTCGAATTTCAAGATCGGAAATACGGACAGAGGATCGATAGCATCCGTAGCACACGGCAGTCATTCTACTCGATATTATTCGAGCACGTACGGCAGAAAAGATAAAGATAAACGAACGGAGCCGCGAGAGATAGGTTTTCCCTATTCCCAAGGCCTTTTCTCTCCACCGCATACAGTGTGTGTATTACGTTATAAAACGGCTCGAGTCTCTCGATTCGTGTATATATTAGCTGCGTAATGTATTCGCGCGCGCGCAAAAGAGAGAGATACACCTACTCGATTTGCCATCTATCCCATATGGTTGGAGGACTATGCGCCGATGACGTTGAGACTCTTCGTGTGTGCGTGTGTATAATGTAATGAAAAACGGCTCTTTCTCTCACTCGGCAACGTGTATATCGCTGACTGCGTGTATAATATTGCAATTCATCGTAACACGTCTGTATATTATAACGCCTCGAACGCGAGACATTTTTACAATACATTATGCGATACGATATGAACGTATTAGCCGACTAATTACTCACCGAGACTAATTTCTCTCTCCAGCGTTATATATAGTTTTCACGCATACAGTACACACAAGGACGAGAAAAGAGAATCGCCTGTTATTATCAGGAGCTAAGCCATGCATAATGATCTATCTTTAAAGGACGCGATCGCGAACGCGCAAAAAAAAGCCAGCTACGATGATTATACCCGCGCCGTACTTTGCTTTTCTTTATAATGGCATGCACATATATGCACATTTGCGCGCGGTGGACACACGCGTGGTGGACCTATACCTATCGCGAAACTGTCGCTTTCTAAACTTTCGCGATTTCACGCTGCAGCGACGACTGCGACGAAGAATCCGTCGTCCCATTATTATATTATTATCGTGTGCACGCACAATAACGCACAAATTTTTATATTTATCGTATATTATATGCAGACCATAGTTATACAAGTTGATGCAGCGCGTAGACTAATCGTATCTTTTGTATGTTTTCACAGCCGACGTCTATCTGAGCCCGCTCGAGACCAACTGCATGAACATCGACTACTTCATTCCCGATGAGGAGAACCAAACGCGAGGATTCTCCGAGGATGCCATGACACGACTTCGTGAGTATTAATTAATGTAGCAGCTGCTAATGAAATATCTCATCTCTCTCTCTCTTTGAACTTTTTTGCGCGCATATTTCAAGTCGAATCGAATGTTTATAACGCACATAACGTATTACGCGTGCCACGTACCTGCGCAAGCTGCAACAGTAGTTAACACGGAGAAAGAGACGTACACGCTACAGCTCGTCTTGAAAAGTATGTCGGAAAAGTTTAGGTCAGTATAACGTTATTTATCGCGTACAGCAGGCGCATACACACGACGACTCGTATATCGCAAGCGAGATTCAAGCTTGCCTCGACTCTTCAAGTCCATTGTACTACTTTTCCAGTTGCGCCTCGAAACAAATATTATAAGACAGATCGCGCGTGCGCGACAGCGATTACCCGATTAATTTTCTCTACTTCATTTGTCACGAGAATTGTATATGTGAGAGAGTGAAAAAAAAAGAGAACGTTATTTATAATTTAATTGTCCTGCCACGTTTGGATTAATCACACCCGCACTATATTTATCATCACATTTATTATTTCGCAGACATGGGCCGATCGGTGATTGCCTTGTTCATGGTCGGCTACCTGTGTATCTTCTTTGCCTTCTGGACCGGGGTCTTTGGCTGCTGGAGGAGATCGCCCGGAAACATCACGGCCACGGCTATTCTCATGCTTCTCGCCTGTGAGTATATTTTTTATTTATTTTTATAATAAACCTCAAGCACACACACACCTTGCGACGACGAATTGCCCAACCTCATTAATGAATAATGATCACACTCCTTCGAGGCGAGGTGTGAATACAATTTTCAACCTAATATATCTTATTATTCTTTCTTTCTTCTTCGTTTCGCAGGCCTCCTGTGCGCTGGCGGTATGGGCTTATGGCACGGCGTCGAGTACTTCGAGAAGGAAAAAATGGTCGGCGAGGAGTATTATCTCGGCTGGTCTAACGTAAGTGTCGGTCGCACGGACTCGTGGACCTCTATATTATTGTTACAGATATTTTTCAATGTTTTTTTTTTCTCTTCGTTCTAATGTATATTATATATTCATGCGGGCGCGTACGTATATAGAAAAATATTATACATACACATGTGCGCAAGCTGACGCATTTCACTGATCGCTGCTCTGCTCATATAGCAGCAGCCGCGTGTGTAGCAACTTATACTTTAAAAGCGATTGTTTCGCGCGAGCTGGTGACTTTTGCAATCATTTATTTATTATTATCATACTTTTTTTTTTCTTTCAAAAATGATCTTTCTCGCGTCTGACTTTGTATCTGGAAAAGATATATAGTGGAGAGCCATTATATCGTTTCGTAATTATGTCGCGCGTAGGTTGACGTCGATATACGGACTTACATTGCATCGAGCTTTTTGCGGACCGATCTGTGTTGGCTTGTGCAGTTTGTGTATGTTTCACTATATTATATACGCACGCGATCTGCGAAAAAAACGAACAATTTTTTATGCGTACATCGAACCACAAAAATTTGTTCGTAACTTTCTCTCGACTATAAAAAATATTATCAATATATAATATATGTACTCTAACGTATACCGCATTCTCGAGCAAGAAAAAAAAGTTACGAACGTTACGTCGTTTAACGACGAATAAAAATATGTCCATATAAAAAGGCGGTGACCGAAGCTCGATCGAGTCGGTATCACGAAGCGTATCATTAAATGAATTATTATTTTCAGTTGTCTTTTTTTTACTTTACTTTACTTTTACCCTCGGTCTCTCGAGAATGCGGTATTATTTCAGCCGAAGACGACGCCACGAGCAGCAGCGGTACAGAGAAAAAGTTCGACTCTCTGTGCTCGCGCGGGCGTATTTATACATACATATTATTATACAAAGAAAGGCGAGTGCTCGTTCAAGGGTAAAAACGGCGACGACGACGGCGACAACGAAGGAAGCAGACTCGATTAACTCGGATAATTATATCCGCGTTCACGAGCTCTCTCGCATATGCTTGTGCGTGTGCGCGTACGAATCGGTACTTCCGAGACGTGCATCATACGCGCACATGTAACGAGCAATAATTTTTTTCTAATTGTAAGCATCGAAAGGTTCCTCATGTGTAATATGAAACGCAGATCTTGAAGCAGTACACGGTCCAGAGCTACGACTGGTCGTTTTACCTGGCCTGGATGGGAGTCGGCGCGAGTTTCGTCGCCTTTATCATGTTCGTCGTGGGCTCGATCTGTCTGCGCCGCGAGCGCGCCCGCGAGCAAGCCCAGAACATCCAATACATAATGCCAGGTCCAATTATGAAATCCATATTATGAACATCAAAAAAAAAGACTAATGGAATTTTTTTGTTTCTCTTCTGTTTCTCTATCTACCGGTGGGCCGTTACGGTGGTTGTGGTGGTGTTGTTGGCTGATTACCGCTTTGTATTGTACTGCCTGTGCCTGCGCATTGACGACCTAAAAATCGAAAAATTTATCTCTACTGTCTACCTTCTGTGCCTGAACTTAACAACCTACTTCTGCTACCAATCAATAACCAACAAACAACAACAACAACAACAATGACACACAACAACAACAACGAAAACAACAACAACATCCAGGTGTTGAAAGACAATTCGCTAATCTCGTACGACTGGTCGTACGTGGTGGCTTGGGTCGGCGTCGGTTGGTCCCTGGTCAGCGCTATACTCTTCAGCGCCGCGGCCATATGCTTACGGGGCGAACGTATGCGCGAGGAGGCCATGAACATGCAGTACCTCATGCCTGGTATACCCACCTTTTTTCCCACATACGAGCATGCCCGTCAGTACTCAACTTTTTTATTATTATTTTATTTTTTTATTTTAATTTTTTTTTTATCATAATATTTTTATATAACAATAATGCGTTCACTCATTTAAATGCAACGATTCATTGGTTCGTTTGGTTTCTTTTTTTGGAGTTCGCGCAAGAAAAGGAAACGATCGCGATTGAGATGCGTGTGTAGTTAATGTACGCCGAAGTGCGAAGGCACTTCTTCTCGCGCGCCGTTTTTTCTCTCTTGTGTTTCCTTTTTTTAGTTCGTATATAAGGTAGAAATCGTGAAAAATTGCAAGTGTTCGCGCCGGTCGAAACTTTCTTTTATACTTACATACAGCACACACAGATACACACACGCATGCACCCAGACGCATATAATAATAAAAAAGCTGCGAACAAGGCTCTCGCGTTCGTACGCATGCAAATTATATACATTAAGATAACGTAACGAAAAACTTTCGTTTGGCCGCGCGTCTCTAGGAGTAGTAGTACAGTGCGAGCGTTGAGCAGCACAAACGATGTTTATCGATTTTCACGACGATCGTGCCCCGGCATTTTATGCTAAATAATCACGCTCTCGAGCTGCTGCAGCAGCAGAGTAGGATCAGCGTTGAAAATTGATTAGGATACAGCGAGCGCGCGAGTAAATTGTAAACTTTTCGAACATCGACGAACGTATCGCTAACTCTCTCGACTCTTATAAACTTGACGATTCAATCGATCTGCCAAAATCATCTACGTCCACCTTTCGCAACGATCGGGTACGTGCATATAGCAGCATGAGAATCCGGTTCGAAAAACGCGCGCCGGCAACCGCCGTACTATAAATCAATTATCCGCGGAGAAAGTTAATCAATGCGCGCGAATTAAGATAAAAAAAAAAGAGAAAAAAAGAAGGTATATAGGCTTAAAAAAGATAACATGCAGATCGTTGGGTGGTAATTATAAAACAATCGCGTGGCGCGCGTCGTCATCGTAACAATGGCTTGTAATGCCAACGAAACAAAAGGTAAATACACTATTATAAACGAGAGAGAAAGAAAAAAAGCACAGAGCAAGTAGGTACCTACTATACAGTCGACATGGACAATCGGATGTATCTCTCGCGCGCGCTTAACTTTTACTTTACTCTTCTCGAAAAACCATTATAAATCAGTCGGCAGCGAGCGACGCGCTCTGTTTGTTATAAAAATCATTCGGTTCGGAGGTTCTTCTAGATAAAACACGTGATGTGCTTGCACTCATCGGGCTGAAAGAGATTACTTACTTCTCTCTTTCTTTCTTTATATCTCTCGGCGATGGTCATGCTCCAGCTTCCAGTGCGACTCGTGGTAATACTCGGGATACTACTACACATTTTATGCATGTATACGCGATTTGAGAGAAAACTTTCTCGCGATGGCATGTCCGGAGTCTCGGTGCTGAAAACCGATCGATTCGCGAAAAATTACACCGCACGTGCGCATGTATGTTATAGTACCGAGCGCGATATGTCACTCGACTCGCGCGGGCGCGAGCTTTTGCCGCTGCGTCGACACTCGATCGTCGATTTATAACGAGGCCAGAATTGAAAACGACACGCGCGAACGGTGATCCCATGTATACAACTCGAGCTGATTTCCTCGATCATCTGCGAAAAACCACAGGTCGCGCGCGGCTAACGTAACGATGCGGCGACGAGAAATCGTCGTCGTTATGTTATAGACCTTCTTCTTCTTCCCGAAAAGAGATACGGCCTCGGTTATTATATTATCAACGACTCTCGCGAGCCGCGACACACTTCCCTAAATTTCATTACGAGACGAGTTTATGTATATACCGACCTTATAACGTTGTACAGACACACACACACACACACACACACACAAACAGGTGGTGCGCTGCATTAACGGCGCGCGAGACGTGCAAACGAGAAGAAAGGATTCGCGTGTATACACGCGGGTCGAAATTCGAGATTATTGACCCGGTCATCGTGTTAAAAGGCGTGATTTATTGAAGGAATGAAATGGCGAGTTGTAGAACGCGAATTAGAAAAGTCCCGCCGCGCGCGTGGATAATTGGAAATCGTAATTCACTGGGAAAGTCAATAATGTGTACGTACGGAGGTACCGTATCGCGTATAATAATATGTGCAACGCGAGTTTCTCGTATCTAAGTAGCCAAATTACGACGTGTATGTGTGTATGTGTGTGTGCATGCGAATACGCAGCGAGAGTCAGCTCGAGCATATGGATTTATGATTTTGCTTTTACGCTCGAATATATCCATCGTGAAAATCGCGCGCGTCCGATGGACGTCCGTCCAGCTCGACGATCCGACTCGGTTCATTTTTTTTTACTCTTCTCTCTCATTTTCCTTCGTGACTGCGTGAGCGCGACGCGAAAGCTTTTTTTCTGTAATATAACGAGCTGCGCAGCTGCACCGTGGTGAATGATGGATTGTTTGAAGTCGAAAGAATTTATCGATGTTGTGGAAAGAAAGCGTCATGCCGGCCCGAGAGCCGATGGAAAATAATCTATTATTCATCCGTTCTCCTCCTTTAGGAGTTGGAAACTTTTCTGCGCGCGCTCGACCAATCGTTATGATTTTTTTTTAATTGCTATATACTGAAATCGTTGCATTTGAATGATCGCTTTTGAGAATGATAACATTTTCACACAAATACCAACACACACAACATGTAAATTATCACAATTATTGTTAAAGAAAAAACAACAACAAGAAAGACGAGATTTTCACGCAAATCTAACTTTTGATTTCTCTCATTTCAACAGTGTACCCGCAAAAGCAGCAGTTCGCTTACGCCGGCTATCCAGCGGCCGCGGCCTATCCAGGACCCTACTATCACGCTGGTGCGGCACCCGCACCGCCTCCACAGGGCTACGGATACAACTATTGAATGCAACATGACCAGCAGCGGAGCGATAACTTAGCAACGCGTACTTAATGATGACGACGATGAAGAAGAAAAAGAAAAGATTGAGAAGAAAATAATTAAGAAAAAAACACAGATTCTTCAATTTCGTGAATGCTGAGAATATATGCGATAATAAACAATATTAACGTTACGTTGCTTTATAAATATAAAATATTTTTCAAATCGTTTTGGATGTATAAAATGATATATTAATTTATTATGTGTATGTATGTAAAAGAAGCAATTCTGTACATATGTATAAGTCAGACGAAATTTTTTTTTCTACGCCTCAGAGACGACTGCGAAAAGGGAGATAAGCGCGAGATGACGCGAAGATCGGTATCGATTTTGTGAAATGAAAAATCGATGCGTCGCATCTTCTCTTCATCGCGTCTATGTCACGCGAAATGTGGATGCAAATCTACGAATAAAAAAATATTAGAATTTATACTATGTAACTCATGACAAAAAAAAAATTCACCGCAAGTGCTGCTAAAAAAAAGAGAGAGAGACGAGAAAAAATGTATAAGACTATAATTACTTAAAACTAATTTCTTTCGTGTTAAATGTAAAAGCCCAAAGTGCACAGGCACAGCCGTGCATCTGATTATTATGTTTGTACGAACCTTCGCTCTTCGTATTTGATCTTTTGTATGTTGTGTCAGTATTTAGATCTAAAAGTATTTAAATACTCGTTTTTTTATTATTTATTTACATATTTATCTATTTTTGAAAATTGATGTTATAATTGCTTATTAATGTCTCGGATCTACGTTTTTTCATACATATAAAAAAAAACATGACATCTCTCCAGCATCCACGATTCATTTCATTATTATATCATAGATAATATTATTATTATACTGCGAAGTTGTAACAAAGCGTTTATTTGTTATGAAAAAACACTTGCGCACGTAAACGTAAGTGCATCAAGCCTCATTTTTTTTGCATTTAGATGTATTATTTTTGCAGTTTAAGTAGATATATAAATTTAATTGTACATGTTTTTACATTGTCTCCTTAGAATTGTTTAGTTTTGTTAATTATCTATATTTGTACCATGTGCTGTACGAATTTTTCAATATACGTATAACAATCGAGAAATAATCTCTTAATTACGAGTCTTTTATATGAATTTACAATACAATAGACGCATTAAACGCGACACTATTATTGTGTAAAAATGCAGCGTACAGCAAAAGAAATAAGATCGTACCGGCAGAGTGTCAGTTCTCTGCGGTTCATATAAGCTGGAATCCAAATCATCTGAGCTGAGTGTCATTTATAACGAGTATTCGTGTGCGTTAATAAAAAAAGGGCAAAAAATACAAAATGGCAATGACTTATTTTACCTTAGCTGTTAAACTTGTGACTTTTGAAAAACATTTTCAAGCGCTCGAATTAACATTAGATTTAATTCTTTGCCGATTTTAACATTCCTATAACGAAAACCATTGTATGCTTGTTGTATTAATTCTCCTTTGAAATTTATTGAATTCTCAATGAAATGTATTTTATTTTGCGAAAATTTTCGTTCAATTATCTCGACGATCTAACATTTTCGAATAAAAATTATTAAACCTACAATCAATCTCGATAGTTTTTACTCTATCCACACCTAATGGTTCAATTTCACTCGTTGGTTCAATCAAATTGACTTACTCCAAGATAAATCTGGTTGCAGAGTGTACAGGCGTTCATTCTGAATTTGAATTTACGAAATTTGTCCCCATTAAAAACTAGATCATTCAATAAAAAGAAAATCTTAATCATAACGGAGCCCTTGGTATAAGTTCAATTTTCCCTCTAAAAACGAGCGTCGAAAGTGAATTTTCCCGATAACTCGCGTGGACAGACCTAACCTCGTTAAACGCACAGTTTCCTCTACCAACGGATCAAAGGTGCACATTGTCAACCGACATCCTCCCCTTCTCACCAAGGGCGGAGGAAAATTAAATTTCCACTCGACAGGCTAAAGTAATTATCGGTGCTGCTGTCGCGCTACATCAAGTCCTTGGCCCGTAACAAGGATATATAAGCGCAAGAGAAAATGAGCGGAACGAGCTACAGTCGAGCTCGGCATCGATGCTGCTGTGCTGCAGGCGAACGAGAGTAAGGCTGCTCGTGTCGTTGTTGTTGTTGTTGTTGTTGCGGCTGTGGTGGAGGTAATATCACATAACAACCCAAGTGTACAAAAAAAAAGGTAGGCATATTAAAAATCGCGCAGCGGTGGCGGCCTTACACATCGGCGGAGTCGGCCGCGGCGCTTACAACACGACGACAATTACGATCATCGGGAGGCAGCTGTTGTCGTCGCTCGTCGTCGTTCGTCGGCACTCCGCTTCTGCCTCTTCTTCTACTTCACTGACAGCTGCTGCGACGACTTGTGTTGTTGCGAGAAAAGCGCGGACTTCGACGCTACTCACTCTGGGCAGCGGCTATCTCGTCGACAATAACAGCAATAATAAAAACAAGAACATGCGTGGTACCGGCGTTGGTGCTTTGTTTCTCTTCCTACCGCTGCTCGTCGGCTGCTGTCAGTCGGCCCAGAATCTCCAGCACAGGGATTCGGTCTTCAGGAGGGCCAAGGTGAGTTTCGCGCTTGATTGGATTGAATTCTCGTTGCCACCTGTTGACGCGATTTTGACATCTTTGAATTGCGAAATTTGAAAAGTGGAGGTTTGGTTGTGAATTCCTCGAATAATTAAATATTTTGAATTAAAACTCGCAGCTTGATTATTGTGTCATTAATTGACGTTTATGAATTGATTCGACCGATTGTTTTCTTTTTGTTGCACTTTGACTTGCACATTCTCATTTAGATGAGAAAATGTGAATTCTGTCTCTGCTCAACTTTCACTTTATGTAAGATGTCATTATTTTTAAGGTATTTTTATTTATTATGCCTAGATAATAAAATTTCCATTGAAAATTATTTCTATTGTAGAACAATGATCATAGTTCATGCTAAGAATTATTTGACAGATAATGTAAATTTAGTTTTACAATATCTTACTTTATGAATTTTCTTTCATTCTTATAAAAAAGACATTTTAATTACAATCAGGAAATGTACCATAAAATTTCTTTTTACTGCATGTTATTTCATGCTTTTTACAAAATTAATATTTGTTGTCTTTGAAAGCCTTATCAAGGTGTGGTTTCAGTATGAATTAATTAACTTCCTCGATTACTTTGTCTGTTTTTTTCCATGAAACAGTGGAACAAATATTTTGTTTAAAATTTTTAAAATAGATTTTTTTAAATAATTGCAATCATTAATTAATTTTTTTAATAAATAGAATTTCTTATTAAACTTTACTATTTATTTCAGTTACTACACAAAGCAAGTCCATTGAGTCAGGCTCAAATGTACAAACTTGCTACTTTGTCTGATCATGAACACATGGATGAAGTGTTAGACAATATTTGTATTCCCAGGGTTGTTGCTAGTCCTGGTCATCAAAAAGTTAAACAGGTAGCTTATGAGTTTTTTAAGAAATTACTTGAATTTAAATTTTCTGGAATAAAATTAATAAGTATCATATTTTTTCTAGTACATAAAATCTCGTATGAGAGAACTTGGATGGACTGTAGAGAGCGATCACTTTGAGGAACATACTCCTCTTTTTGGAAAACTTCATTTTGAAAACATCGTAGCAAAATGGAATCCAAATGCTGAAAGATACTTAACATTGGCATGTCATTATGATTCGAAGTATGAAAAAAATTATGAATTTGTTGGTGCTACAGACAGTGCTGTACCCTGCATGCAACTTATCAATTTGGCCAAGGTCATGCAGGAGCAGTTGAATGCTGCCAAACAAGTATGTTAAATGAGTATTTTTTATATGGTATATAATTTTATGAAACAATATGAATATTATATAAATTATTTTTTTAGAATGATGAAGTAAGCTTGATGCTGCTCTTTTTTGATGGAGAAGAAGCATTTAAATCATGGGGTCCCAAAGATTCAATTTATGGAGCTAGACATTTAGCTGATAAGTGGCATAAAACAAGATATATCTACAGGGAAGAAAGTGAAATAAGTGATCTGGACAGAATGGTATTATTTTATTTAATCAGTTTTATTTTATATTTATACCTGTATATGTTATTATGATCTAATTTACAAAATTTTATGTAGGATATGCTGGTACTTCTAGATCTACTAGGTGCTCCAAAACCCATATTCTATAATTATTTCAATAATACTTTGAAATGGTACTCATTGTTATCAGAAGCTGAAGATTATTTAGCTTCTGCAAATTTACTACAAAATTATGATAAGAGGGAAAAATATTTCCAAAAATATACATTCCCAGCTGGAATTGAAGATGATCATATTCCTTTTTTAAGAAAAAGTAAAATTATTTTTTTGCTTAAACATTATTTATTTAATTTTAATGAAGAAATTAATATTTTATCTTATTTTTTTAGATGTACCGATTTTACATTTGATTCCATATCCTTTCCCGGATTTCTGGCATACAGAAGGAGACAATAGAAGTGCAGTTGACATGGCTACAGTAGAGAATCTAAACAAAATTTTGAGAATTTTTGTTGCCTCATACTTGAATTTACCTGTGTAAGTGCACCTGTTTTAACCCATTTTTGCCTGTTCAAGTTTACCCTTCTAAGATTAATAACAGTTATATTTTATAATACTTATAGATTATAAATAAGAAAGAAACTAAATGTTACCATTTACTCAATATTGAATTCATAGAAGAAATTCAAGGTATTTTTGATAAGTACATCATTATAATAAGAACCAATAATTTACCACTGGTACAAATGGGTTAAGCAACAATTTAAAAACATATTTTTTAAGAAATTAACTATAGTTATTATTTTTCTGATTATATATATTGTACAGTGAAGAGGATAATGTACAATCAGGTGGAAGATCAGATCTGTGATCTCTGTTTACTTAAAGTTTGTACCAAGTACAAAGAAGTGATTCTCAAAGTTACCAAGAACAGTGTCAATGTTGTACGCAAGGCGTAAATTAACAATATTCGTGTTGAATGTGACAAGAAAGAAAAAGACGAAGAATGTGTTCCTAAAGCAAAATGTGTTATTGTTAAAAATTTATTTCAACGACGCAACAAATGTACCTATAAATGTATTCACGTCCTTCATAATTTTAATTATTCATCAAGAAATATCGTATATTTTCAAATTTATCGATGTCAATTTAAAAAAAAAAATGTGTATCCATTGGTTGCGATGCAAATTTTACTGACCGATGGTCAGTAATCTTACGCGCACTGTACGATCGAAACGAAAGAGTAAGCGAAAAAGCGAGTTGCATACGATCGAGGTGTTGGCAACAATGAATCGCGAGAGGCGAGGTCATTGTTCTGTTTCGCGACGCGATGCAGCAAACGCGCTCTAAGGAGACCACGCGTCCGTGTATTTTTTTATATGAATACATGAAATATACGTAGTTCCGAACCGCAGACGAGAGGATTAAGTTTATATCCTTTACGGGTACACTCAACGTATGTGCGTGGGTGTACTTGTCCACCATTTTGGTACACTCTCACAGGAATTTTGTCCTCGCTCTACGTTTTAAACAATCATGCCCGAATCTGGTTTCGAGAGTGGAGATATGTTAAAAGTACTTTTAGTATTGCAGATCTATTTTATATTGAAATTTTTTGAATAATCTTTATACAATTGTGAAATCATGTTGATATTTGATTATATTGTTTTAATGTTGACGAAAAAAATGCCCAAACATCGAACGTTAATTAATTGTAATCGTTCAAAAATCCTATGTGCAATGTAAAAGGACGTTTCGATCGCCGAAAAAGTTGAATAAAATTACGCGCACAAAATTACTAATCTCTATCCTCATTGAGCACTTCCAAACGCCACGAATCGTATCCTTTTAATTTCCATCCAACCCGAATAAAGACAAGTCATTCTCGATTTCACCAGTATAAGCGAAATTTTTGCAATTTCGAATCCTCTCGTAGCGTTCTCCAGCATATAATCCCGACAACGCGCATACGAAGTAATCCGATCTCATCAGGACGCCTCGAGAACTGCAACCGGTTGACAGCGAAAAGCCCCGCGAGTCGCGCGAAACAAAGACAGAGCGAGAGCGAGAGAGAGAGAGAGTAAAAGAGCGTAAAAGTCGAGAGAGAGAGACCCTGTGCGAGTCACTAACACACACAGACACACGGATATCAAAAGTTATGGCGGTGGTGGTAGTAAATGGCAGAGCAGCAGCGGCGGCGCGCCGTTCCGCGGTGGTCCAACAAAGCTGATTCAGCGTGGTAGTACTGGTATAGTGCTAAGAAGTGAGTGTGTGTGTGTGCGAAAGAGAGGAAAGAGAAGCGGCATATAGGCAGTGTATAAGGTATAGGCGCACCACCGCCGCAGCGGCGTATGAGATCGAGCCGCAGTCGCGTTAAAACCGCCGCAAAGCTCGAAAGGTATACGAACGAGTGTACGAGAGTCGCAGTCGACGTCGACGACGCGCGAGCGGTCATATATATACAATAATACATCGGTGGTGGTGTAGTACATACACGAGTATATGTACACATACACATCAGACAGGTACATACAAACGAGCGGTGCTCTCTGCAATAATACCTTGAATATACCTTTTTTATACATTATAAAAAAAAAAAAAAATACCATCGCACAGAGGCCCGACATCGTGTGTCGGTAAAAGAGCGTCGTCGTGCAGCGAGCGAGCGAGCGAGTTTGTTCACTCCGCTGCAACACAGCACGGTGTGTGTTATATACCACCTATAAACCTTTTACTATACATAAAGCCCTACAGCAGCAGCAGAGGAGCCTGCGAATATATAGTAGTGTGTGCGTGAATACGACGACGGCGAGCCTACTACATAAGTGTGTGTGCCGTGTTCGTGTTCCGTGTGTGTGTTTCTCTCTTGGTGCCTCTCTGTTGTATAGTATAGCAGCAGCGGCCGCACCGAAAGCGACGCGCCGCGCCTTTCTCTCTCGTTTTTCACTACATGTATATAATAAGATATATATAAAATAATATAATAAGACGAGAGGAGGCACATTTTATTTATACGCAAAGGTAACATTATACCACAAAAAACAAGGAGGAAGAAAAAGTAACGTTGTCTGCATCGTACTTTGATTGTTTGTGCGTGAATTTGTGCCGTGTGCTCCGAAACATACATCTATATATGTAATATTCTTTCTCTTTCTCTCTCTGTTTTCGTGAGTAACAGTGAACGACTCAAGATTGAATAGTAGCAATAATATAGAATCGTACACGATTATTCATATAATTACATAATATAAACGTGCAAAAAGGTTGTGTTATACAGTGGTGTCAATCGTCAATTTTTTTTTCTTCTGTATTGTAGATAGATGTTGAAGTGCAGAGTCTCTAGACGTGTTTGTATCTCTACATGTGAAAGTGTTTTGTGTTTTTGAAGAATCATCTGTCCGTCGTTTTTCTTCACACAACACGGTGCGTATTTTTCTTCTTCACATTAATGTGTGCATCTCTTGAAAACACGCGAGAGTCTGTCGCAAACCAGAGCGACATTTATCATATGCATGCACGAAGAGTGCGGAATGACGAGTGCCACACCGGCTTGTCGTACGTAATGACGAATATGAAGAGCAATGCTCGATACATACGTATACCCCAACTTACCTATGGAACGTACTTTAATAACAAAATAACGTCGAGGAGAATAATAATAAAAACAAAATACGACGACGTATTCGAATTACGAGCGTAGACACCGCCGCTGATGCATCGTGTAATGTGTGCAGATCTTCAGCCGCTATTATTCGTCTGCATCATTACGTTACGCACGATGCATGCGTACGCCAAGATCAGCTATCGGCTTCTTATCGATGTACACTTATAATAACGCAAAGCGAGATGAATCGACGCTCGAAAGAAAAGCCAGAGAGAGAGAAAAAAACGAACGCATAGCAGCAGCGGCAACAGCAGCAAAGAATGCGGTCTATTCCTGACTGTACATATTATTGCCTAGTGCTTGTGCAGCGGTGTGTTTTTAGTTGTGTGCCTGTGAATGTTGTGCATGTGTCCATATACCTATGGATTGCAGAATTACCGAAGCACCAGCAGCAGCAGCAGCGGCAATACCTATATGTATATATTGTAGGAGAGCAGCGGCGCGCCGCGTGCATTCCATAGCCGCGCGACTGTCCAGCGTCTCTCTTTCAATTTTTTTCTCTCTTTTCTTTCGTATTATCAAAAAATTTCCAACTCGTTAGTACCCGCGTCGTTTATCGCTATCGACGCGATTGCGTCTGTATCTATGGGTATAATGGACGAGCGAGTGCTGTCTGTTATTTACACACTAACGACGTATTTTCCATGGAAATATGTATCTTCCACATGCTGAATCGAGCTCGTATCTCATAGGTACCCATATCAGGTACCTCTCTAATATAGTTGATAAACGCTATAATATAACGTTTGGGTGTACGAGCGTTCACCATCGGGAATCATCATCATCATCATGATCATCGACAACGGCGCGGGGGTCCTTGTGCGCCAAGACGCAACATCGTCGTAGTCGTCGTCCTCACTCCTCGCACAGTCATTCGCTTCGAAAAAAGGGGAGGGAAGAGCGAGAGAGAAGCACAGGCTATCCATTCTCGCTCTCTCTCTCTTTTCTGCTTGCTTCTCTCGTTCTTATAATACACCTATATACTATACTTATAAGCAAAGGCATAGAGCCCCACGGAGTATACGTTTGTGTGTCTGTCTGTGAGTGTGCATGCACCTAAGTAGTCCTGGACAGCGCAGCAACAGCATAGAGAACACACTCCACGCCGTGGAGGATGCACGCTCTGCTTCCTCGTGCTCTTCTTGCCCGCTTGTTGTTGTAATCCCTGCAGTTCCGCTGAAGCCTTTCGCGGGCTCTGTGCATGTAGTAGGATACGAACAACGTGTTCCGTATCACTTGTATGTGACTCCGTTTTTATATCATCATTATGGATGCACTTGAAAAAAAAAAACGTAATCCTAGAACCTCTCGTACACGCACATGTGTACCGTTAATGTTTTAAATCTTTCGATCGTTTTCTTTCGATCAGTTAAAGTCAACGATGTGCATACGTTTACTCACACACGCTGCATGCCGTTTGACAATTTGATACCCGAAGCCTCTGGTCCCCGTGACATGTCGTACTATGTAACGTACGACCCCAAAAATACGATTCGCCGGGGCCTCTCTGTGTGTATTTACATTCATGCACACTTACCTTTCGAGGTTATGGCTCGCCCTCTGCATCATCTGTCGTAGTACACCAACTGGTGGATGCCTGTTCATGCCCGCGCCCACCGATGACCAGCCGGATGAATGGACAGTGATATATCGTGGATCCCACGAGCAGTAATAACTGTCAAGTAGTTTCCTTTTTTTTTTTTTTTTAAGGAAACACTTGAATTCGTAATGTTAGATCGGGCGCGACTACCCAAGCAACAGATGCCATTGCACTTGCAACCTGCACTCGTTTAATTCCAAATAACGTCGATGGTCATCTTCTGTGGTTTTTTGCGCTCGGAATATTACGGCATTTATTTTACTTCTACGTGCCGGCGCGCGGAAAAGAAGTCCAAGAGTCGTGTTAGTGAGAATTCGTCACGGGTGTCGAGTCGTCGTCGTCGTCGTCGAGAGCTCGAATTTGATGCCCTGTGCATACGTATAGTTTTTAACATATCGTTTACTCTATACTTACGCTATCCTTTCGTTTTCTCTGTAATTCGTCCCCCCGTATACGCGAGTACGAGGCGCAGAGTCGCGCTCGCACATACCTAGTCGATTTTTCGCGGACTCGCTGCTGTCTGGCTTTCCGAGTAATCGGTGCGGCAAGAAAAAAAAAAGAGTTACAACTCGCCAAAATGTGAATTTTACATTCGCGCGTTACTTGAAACGCTACTAATGTGCTTAATAAGTATAAGAGCAAAGAGAAGAGCAAGAGAGTGAGAGAGAAAAAATTCCAAATTATTCATTCACGGAGCATAGATATTTCTGGCGTGCTCGTATACGCGCCCGTGCGAAATCACACCTCGCGCAGTCTCGCTTTGCTGTTTTTTTTTTAATTTTATTTCAGTTCATGTTATTTTTTTTATATACTCACTCGATAATCTCTTTCCGTAAAATTTCTTCGACCAGTATATCTTTCTCTGGGGGGCCTCAGCCCGATCGCGTTATTAAAACACACGCCAAATGCTCGTCGTATTATACGCGACGCGACCTTCGTTCCATTGCCGGCGAGAATATTATAAAGATCAACGCACTTGTGCCACTCTCTCGTCGATTGCCAATGTATATTTCTCTCTCTCTCTTTCTCCATCTAAATTGACTTTTCAACTTCTCCAATATGTGTACCGAGCATATATATGCAGGCACTTATTGCCTTATGGCATTACATACGTACGTACGTACCCGCGTATTATTATATATTTATGAAAATCTCATGCATACTGTACATACCTGCTGCCGCGAGATTATTAAAATATTCACTCGCGGGTAACCTTGTATCACGCGTATAGTAGCGCGCCTCGATCGCGTATACGCAATCTTCACCTTGTATACCGCCAGCGAATGTATGTAATCGCGTAACGAACCTATTTTCACCTGCGTAACGAGATCTGTATGTCAGCTTTTTTTTGTCGTTGTAAAATTAAAAGTACGCGCGAGTGCCGATTATAATTTGATCGAGAAAGAACTTCGATCGGAGGAGGAGGTCACTTATGTATACACGATCTTTTCGGGGGCCTCTCTTTCTTAGCACGTGTGTGCATGTGTCTGTGTGTGTGTACGCGAGTGTGCTGCACGTCTGGTCAGTTAGCCAAACAAAGCTTTAAATATAGTTTTGCCATTGAACTGGTGCTGCAGCGCGTAAAGCGGGTTATAAGCGAATAATATCCAAATTTAGAGCGGCACAGCTGCGTGCGCGCATGCACGTATATAATTCAAGCGTGTAGTTAGTTATAATCCACGTGTGCATACTCTGTGTGCACCCCAGGGTTGTCAACGCTCCATTAATAAAACATTAACCATCGCGTCACGCGCAAATTGCTCGTATTTCTATGAATTCAATGTATACTCACAATGTTGCTCTTCGCTCTGTTTCGCAGACTTTCGACGCAGTGTCCCCCCACAAGGAGAGAGGCGCGGCAAAATTTGATCGATGCCAATTGAGCAGCGCGAACGACAACCGCAGCAGCAGCAGAAAGGGCTGACGACGTTACAGGAAGGATAATATTGATACACAAAAGTATATAAAAAATCGGAGCCGACGCTCGCGGAGCGAGCCAAGACAGATCATACAGCCGAGTGAGAGAAGAGCTTTTACGGTAACACACACATAAACGCTCGAAAATGCTCAAGTTCATCAGAGGAAAGGGTCAACAGCCCGCGGCCGAGAGGCAGAAGCTGCAGAAGGACCTGTTCGCTTTTCGCAAGGTTAGTTGATTAAATTACAACCTTACAATATACAAATACCGTATGTGCCAAAATAGAGCCGTAGTTGCGTTCGCAAAAACTACTTCGTATCGCGAGCGAATGACGTCGAAGGAATTTATACATCATCATCGTCATCATCATCATCATCATCGCGTTATGTATCGGTATATTTCTGGCTTCAGTTCGAGTTTACTTAGGCCGATAGTTTAATGCCGTACGGTCTATGAAATTTCGTACGTTCCTACCCGCGCTATGTGTTAATTTAAAAATAAGCATTCCGGATGAAGCGGGATCGACGACGACGGAGCTCTAGCTTCCATCGTTTTTCGCACCACGAAAAATGTTCAAAAGCCCCGCGCGCTCGGTGCGACATGATCGCACTTATATACGCGCCCGCGTAAACGAGCGAGTCGCCCAGACAAACCGCAAAAACCACGAGTGTTGTACGCGTAATGTAACTTCTTTCTTTTTCTTCCTCGTTGTTATTGTTATACATTTCCTTTACCCCTCCTTCGCCCTCTCGACTCCTCACCTTTCGCTCCCGATGGGTTTTAATTATCTCGAGTGGGCGATCGCGCGCACCTTTTTATACAATATAATAATACATGAAAATTTCACCCATGAGCAGAGAAGTAACGACGACGATATATATATTATAAAGTACGCGTACACACGCAGTAATAAGTACAAGTATATTATGTAGTGTATTAGGATTCGCCAAGCGCCACGTAATACCCGCATGTTTCAGCTGCTGTGTGCAGATAATACGAGATACAACACACTTACTTTTATACTATATATATAATGTACGACGAATATATCTACGCGCTGCGCCGTGTGTGCCATCGACTTTCTCACGCTCCTTGTTTCTTTTTTTGCGTTATGCTGCTATAGGCTTTGCGCTTCGCGCGCGCGCGGAAAAGCGCAACGCACGGTGCAACGTATGTGTACGACGACACAGGCAAACTGCAGCGCCTGGTAATCATCCTCGTCGTTACGATCGTTATTAGATTTTCCTTTCGTCGAGACGCGTCTTTCTTTCTCTTTTTTTCCGAGTTTTTCCGCAGGCTCGAGCTGGACAATAACACGATACAGTATACAAAGCGTGTATAGACTGTCCACAGACCGGTTCTCTCTCTATTTTCTTCCGATCGATCGGTTGCGCGCTCCGTTATACATACACACACACACACTCACGCGCAGACATTACCGAGCGCCGGGTTATTTTCATTCGCACGCAAGCAAGCAGCAGCGGGCAGGCATTGTCCTAGTTGCGAATCGATATCGCGCTATACGACTACTATACGGCTCGATTGGGAGAAAAGAAAAAGTCATTCGCCCGAAGCGAAGAAACAATTATCCGACTCGTATATAATACGCGCGCGCAGTTGTACGTGCGCACACGGCGAAAAATATAGTATATATGAAGAAAAGTCGAACTACGCGAGCTTTATGTACATTGTGTGTTGTGCGAGCGCAGTATATATAGGATCGTTTAATGACTTTTACACATTGTTGCTGGCGTTTGTTCTTTTTTTTCTTTTCTTTTTTTAATATTTTTCTCGTTCGAAAAAATCCTTATTGTTGCCTTACCGTTGTTGCCCATATATACTACTGTATCGTTGAACAGACAATTGAAAATAAAATACTCCTGCCGTTGGTACGCTCGCGCGAGCGAGATATGCAAACATTCCACAACTATCTTTTTAAGCGAGGGTATAATTTTCGATATTTGCCGCGCTATTATCAATAAACGCCGCTACCCACGACCCTACCTCTTTTCTAAGCAATCGAAATCGTGAGAATAACTCATTTTTGTACGCGGGGTTACTTATACGTACGTACGTGGCTCGCGCGCGCGTGAATACACGTATGAAATTACACGATACCTACCCTCCCGCTTTGATAGAAGCCAATTCGAAAGGAGAGCGATCGGAGCTGTGTGTGCGTGTGTATATTGCAAAAGCTCAGATTTATATGCATTTGTAATTTACAACTCGCTTTTATGTGCGTAGGTGTTCGTAAATATACACGTATAATAGAACTGCAAGCAGGCGAAATGTGTGCACTTTTTGCCTATGTACGCGTATATTATAAGCCAAATGTAGATCGAAGATCCCGAAGTGCGATTAGATTGTGCGCTGCCTCGCGAGCGCTAATGATTAATTCGCGATCGTTTTACAATGCGTATCTCACTCTATATGCATATGATATATATAATATAAATGTACACACATGTGCGCAGTGCGCCTTTCGGATTGAAACGCCACCGAATGAATCGCGTACGATATAGATATGTATTACACTTGTACATAACGAGAGCTACTGCGCGCAAACTTTTCATTTCACCCGAGAGATGTTTTGTCTATTAAAAAGATTTAGCGTGTGCAACGCGCGTGTGTATTGTGTACGAGCGTTATATAGCTCGGAGTAATGAGGCACAGCGAAAGGTTTTTCGCACACAGCTTTAATACAGGCCCGTACGGAGCTAATGTTACGTTGCGCATTCGTTTTAACAGAATAATAGTTGCATCGCGCGCGCGCGCGCTCAGTCGTACACGCGGATGAATATATGCGCCATAACTGCTGCCGCTGCTTTGATTTATCTCAACCTTATCCCTCTTTCGTGCGCTCTTTAATCAGACGGAAAAAGTAATTGCAAAACAACGGGGATAATGGTTTCGTATGAATTTTTCGGTGCTCTCTTCTTGTTTACGATGTACGGTTTCTGCGGTCGCGATCGACTTAGATACGACGGGCACGAGCTTTGTTATTTTATGAGTAGTTATGTTGTTACGATACCGCTTACCGATCTGCGAATCGTGTACATTTCCGAACCGCAAACGAATAAAAAACAACATCTATTCTAATTATACATATAGTACAAGCGCATTGCACGTATCAAATATGCGCGCACGCGCTAGTACAGAGCATTTAAAAAGTCTCCCATGAGATTAGATAGTAAATCAGTCCAGTGTCAAGTACTCCGCGCTGTTGTGTTGCTCATAACTCGCTGTCAATTATTTTTCACATACTTATACGTCCTAAACGTGCACAATGAGCAGCTATATTGCTATATATTATGTGTAGTTTTACGATCGATATGGACGGCCAAACGAAAACGCCTCTCCATATAGGTACAATAATATAACATATCGACGCGCCGACCGACTCTTTTTTTCCGCTCGCGCACAGCTGCGTGTACGTATATCAACGCAGGTGATATGACTAGCTCGTTTTTTTCCAATGCTCTAGTCGAGTATTTTACCCACACACCCACGGAGGAGAAAAGCCCTATATACATGAGAGTCCGAAGGAACAACACCGACATACGACCCGCGCTCACTTCCGCGCCCATGAGAGAGAGAGAGAGAGAGAAATAAAAAAGTATATTAAAGGTGCAGCAGCAGAAGCAGCAGTGCTTTAGTCGCAAGCAGCGCGGAAATGTGGGCCAACGCGTGTGATATTCACGTCTGGTGCTCGCTCGCGCGTAATGTATTACGCGTATATTATGCGCGTCTACGATTTTTATATGTAAAATTTCCCGTGATCTATCTCGAGAGTGTCGAGTTTCGCGCGCACGTCCGGTTCGGATTAATGGACTGAACGCAGAGCCAGCGAGAGTCCATCGTGTCCGTCGTTTCGGTTTTCTTTCTCTTCGTCTTGAAAATGTAGAGAGTCTGCTTTTATCTCTCTCTTTCTCCCTTGATTTTCGTTTTTGCCGAAGAGTTTACGAGAAAACAAAAGGTCACATCTTTCGCGTGACCAGCTCTTTATATATTATATGGAGGCTCGAGTAAGGAAGGCTTTCTGCGCGTCCACGTTAGAACGATGGGTATCTCCCCCCTCGCCGGCAAACTTATGCACACCCACACAAATAGTATAAGTGTTGGTTATATTATATATAGACACATTTACAACACACACACAAACTCACATACGTACACACGCATATAGATACGATATACGAGTACGAGCGAAAAGCTAACACACGACGGAAGTCCGTTTGTGGGCTCGTGCCCAGCGTAGCAAATAAATTCAAATATACGCGCGCATGAGAGAGCGCGAATATCCTTTCTCTCTCTCCGAGACCATACGAACGTATTTTATAGTATAGACGCGCACGTTCGCGCATACATTTAGAGCTGCTTGCTTATAACTTTGACCAAAAAAAATATACATTCACACCGTATAAGTTTTGAATGTGGCGCGCGGGGGAGGCTGAAGTACGGAAATAAAAAAAGTCGATCTTTTGCACGCGCGCGCGAGATCGAGAGCGGCGCAGTGGCCGCGGAGCACGCGATCCCGAAGAAAAGCAGCATGTGTTTTGCAAGCTATGGCAGCAGTATAGTGTGATCCTGCTGCATCACGTCGTCGTCGTCGTCGCGCGAGCTGCAGTTGCGCTCGCCTGGTCAGCAGCACCAGCAGCACGGAGCGGCCAATGCATAATGTAATAGACAGAGAGAAACAGGCTCTAGGAACTAGTTTTCACGCGCGCGAAACGTTTTTCGTTTTTTTTTCTTTTGTTTTTTTTTTTTTTTTTTTTTTTTTTTTTTTTTTTTTTTTTTTTTTTTTTTTTTTTTTTTTTTTTTTTTTTTTTTTTTTTTTTTTTTTTTTTTTTTTTTTTTTTTTTTTTTTTTTTTTTTTTTTTTTTTTTTTTTTTTTTTTTTTTTTTTTTTTTTTTTTTTTTTTTTTTTTTTTTTTTTTTTTTTTTTTTTTTTTTTTTTTTTTTTTTTTTTTTTTTTTTTTTTTTTTTTTTTTTTTTTTTTTTTTTTTTTTTTTTTTTTTTTTTTTTTTTTTTTTTTTTTTTTTTTTTTTTTACTTTGTCTCTACATCCCTCCGCAGAGTCGTGCCGAGATGACTGCACTTATACAGGAATACACGTACCTATATATATATGCAGCCGAGTTTATATTTAGACTTGAACTCTCTCTTTCTCTCGCGGGAACTCGACTTTGCAGTTTAGGCTCCTTTGCTCTCTTTTACCTCTCTCCCTCTCT